CCAGGTTTGTCTCGATGGGATGGAGCACTCTCTTAATGTATTTACTTTGTATTTCATTTTAAGTTTTTGGACTCACTCTTATTATTCCCTGCCGACCCCCTCACGCTCAAAGCTTTGAAAAACTATGGGTCACGTTTACCAGCCTGTGCCACTCTGTCCTATAAGAATATGCAGTACAGTAAGTGAGAGAGATTGGCATTACAACCTGTGGATTTGTGAGTGGGAATTTATGCCATTTATGTATGTCAAAACTTTTTTCTTACCTTAGTAAGTTTTCTTTTTGAGGTCTAAGGATGCCATCTGATTTTTGGGCAGCATTTGCAGATGCAGCTGCTGTGTCTTTGGATTCAAATTTATTACCCGTTTTCTTCGTTTCTGCAGGTAACTGTGCACCTGGAAAACAGATAATACTGTTTATCAGGCATCAGCGCTGTTTGACTTTATCAAATCAAAATACACGTCAATTTGATGGCATAGAAAGTGCAAAACAAGAACTACTAAACAATTCTGCTCACCTCTAGGAATTTTTGAGGACATTTTTCTTTCCGTGATGCCAGCAATGACAGGCCACCTGTAATGAAAAATAATATGTGTTTAAGTAACTTTAGAGTTAAGTCTAGTCTGGACATATTTTCAAACAGGTTCTGCCTATATGTATTCTAAAGATTCAATAGCTAAGTCATGGGTTGCCGATGCCTATATGTTTGCTGTTACGTGGATCAAAGAAACTGACAGACATTGAATTGAGTTTGGTGCCATTTTCTCAAATACAACATTCGGCAGGAACACAAAAACTAGCATAACACGCTCTTGTTAGACTGCCTTACGAGTAAGCTAAGCTAACATAACTGAAACATACTAATATGTGCTATATGGTACCGTAACACAACATCAATGCTTACCTCTACGGATACGGTAAATATGAGATTTGTCAACAGTCAACACTGAGCCGCACCAGTTTTAAAAACGTCCCGCCCTATGTGGTCATTTCCGGTCTGATTACGCCATTTCCTGTATAAATAAAGTACATTTACGATACCTGGGTCGTCAAATTAATGTATTTGTCAATTTAAAAACGTCATTTATAA